TAAGTTAGTTATTTAGGTTGATTATCATGTTAGTGAGGAGGAATTAAAGGCAAGGAAAAATAAAACACACAAGAACAAGTGATGTGTAGGCCTAAATAATTTAATGCTGCAACCAACAAGTAGTCTAGGCGAAATTTTGTATTAGGCCTAAGGTAGGAGGTACTAATAATTAGTAACCATATAACTTAAAAAAAAATGTTATAAGTACTTTAACTAACTATTTAGGCCTAGGCCGGGTTTAGGCTAGGATGAAATTTGTTTCAGCAAAATGCTGCAAACTCTCTGCAAAGACAAAAACTAAGTTAGGCTAACTTACCTGTATAAAAAATACTATTCAATAACTAAAGCATTTAAAACAAAAAATTCCAGTAGGCTAATATTACATTTGTTTGAACATTACATCTTTCAATTTTATTTGTAGAAAATTTGCCATAGGCCTAGCCTGCAAAACAATGTAAACTTAGCATTTTTAAGTTGTGAAAAGCAAGATGCTAAAAATACTACCGCAGCTTAAACCCTGGGCCTACGCCTACTTAACGCACAACTACTCGACTCGACTCGATACTCGAGTTTTTACTCAAATACTCGACTCGACTCGACTCGAATTGAAAAATCACTACTCGCCCACCCCTAATAATTTATAAAATTAAAATCCACAGAATCTTCTACGATTCTACTGAGATATCTTTTATTAGCAGAGTAAAGTGAGCAAAGGAAGTCTCTGTCTGGTGTCTTCGTTCGTGCCATCAACATGGGGAGCTAACTACGTGGGATAAGGGGGGAAGGTCCCCTGAAGTATTGTGTCGTAGACTAGTATTTCCAAATTTAATTAATAACTAATTGCAGATCATGTAAAATTCATATATTCCGCCATACTAAAACATATTAATTAACTGAAGACTTGCTATTTCTTCAGATGTTAGTTCACGTTGTGTCCGGTTGACTTATATATAAAATATTCTATATGTTGAACGATTAGGATATTTTTGTAAAAAAAAATGCTTTAATTAATCAAACAATCATCAAAGCTGGCTCTTGGGGCCTGTGAATTGCGGTAAATTGTCTCCTCTGTTGAAATAATGTGTCCAGTTCTCGTTTCCAACATGAACGATTTGGTTAAGGATCATAAATCGCATGATCAAATCACCAATGTGTGCACCACAGTATACCACAAAACAAAGAAACCAAGGGTAGCCTAGGCATATTAGGTCAGATAGCGGAAAGTTTAGGTACAGTCCTAATCACCACTTTTCATTATGTTGTTTGGGTCGCTGAACACAATTATGAGATTTGGTGACAAATATTATGCCCAGAAAATTGTTTATTTTGAAGAAAAAAAATTTAAAATTTTGTCACTCTTAAGGTGTTTGGGCTAAATCTTGGTAATTATATGGTTTTGAAATGACTCTACTTTGTAAATTAAAGAATACTAAATTTACTACAAGTTTCATACATAATATTTGTTTCTACTACAAACCGTTACGCCACTAGAGCATACTAAAAATGGCCAGAAGTACCAAAACTGAAAATAAATGCTTTAGTCCTCGCCAACCAAACTTGAGGCAGCCAAAGGCCGCACGCCATATATCTAGTGCGGCCTTGGGCTGCCTCAAGTTATGGTGGCGAGGACTATAAAGGCGGGGACACACTTGTCATACACTCTTCCGATCCTACTACGATCCGATTTGCGGGATTCCAGAATGATCGGTGCGGGATCAGAGGGGGTGAACACACATGTCATACACGCTTCCGACCCATGCCCGATTTCCTCCACCGGTCGATCAACACTGACTTGCCAGTCTGATTTGTAAACTACGTGCAGCAGAAGGTGGTAAACATGTTCAAAAACTTTGGACTTCGGGATTCAGCCATGATGGCGGTTTGTCTAGATGAAGAGGAAGAAAGTCAGACATCTCTGAAGGGCAGTGGAAAACGAAGAATTTGGGTTCATTCTGTATGGAATGAAAGTTAGGTGGTTTACTTAAGTGCCCATCTTATATATTAAGCACATTGGGTTTTCTCTCTCGAGTTCGTTTGGCTCTTCTACCCGTCCGATTTTCATGACCGAGGTCTCAAATTGAAGGTATGCACGCACAGATTTCACATCAAGCATCGGCATATATTTAACTTAAACCATTATTCTTAAATCTTAAAAATAAAGGTGATTTTTTAGAAACAACCCATCCTGCATCCGACAAACGAATAGACTGCAGTGTCGGTGCGTGATCGGAGTCAAAATCGGAGTAGGATAGGAGTATAACGTGACGCGTGTCGGAGAGGTGTAAACAACCGCGTTCAAAGTTAAGTACCATTCCCCTCTCCGACAGTCGTACCACAGTATGATCGGAGTCGGATCGGAAGGGTGTATGACAAGTGTGTCCCCGCCTTTAATGCTGCCGTTTTACATTAGGTTTCCATGAAAACAACCCGAACCCATTTTACGATAGTTTTAACTATATATTCAATAAAATAAACTGAAACAGACTTAATAAATCTGTGCCAAGATGCATGACTGGCTGCAGGAACATTTCCCGTTCCCCGAAAACCCTCAACAGTTTTATTTTCTCTCAGCACAAGGGCTTTTGCTGACCACGGGGTTGACTGACATTGTGCTTGAGAAAAAGGAATGAAAGTCATTAAAAGAGTTGTAGATAAAGATAAGTTTAACTTTGAAAACGACGGTAACGTCAAATTCAGACTAGCAGACCGAGTCCAGCCACTTGCCATAATGAACGCGATGAAAGTAGAGAACGAATTCTTACCCGTAAACCTCACCACATTGTTTCAACGTATCATCATCGCTAAGAATTCTGATGGAGAACTAGAACACTTCTTGTCCTACTCAGTGGCGGCTAAAGGGGGGGGGGCTACCCCCAGATATGATATATATATATGATATAGAAATACACTAGACACCCTAAATTTTAACTTTTTATGTGGTGAAAAATAACGTGAAAATAACGAGTTAATAGTTATATGCAACAAACCAGCAAATTATTTAGGATCCTAGGTACACAGTACACACACATTTAGGGTTTGGATCAGTCGGTTCCTTTCTATTCCCTTATGTCAGCTATTTTCCATAATGTGTAAGGGTGAAATTCTTACATGGAATTCGTAAATTAGCCGATTACAAGGTCCTTCAAGTATGTTCACCATGTTCACTGAATCCGTATTTCCTTTTATGTTGATTCCCAAATAGCCTAAAATACGTCTTTGGGGTTTTTTTTCAAAAATTTTCGGGGGAGGACCCCCTGCCTCCCTCCACACTGAGGGGTATTCCATACCCCCAAGACCCCCCGGCAGCCCAGCTTAGCCCCCCACATTTCGGGGCCTAGATCCGCCTATGGTCCTACTACAACCATACTCATTCTCCTTTGGCCTCTAAGACTCTTTGTCATACGACCATACTCTTTCTCGTTTATTGATAATAACGATTTGCGAAAAGGAACCAATTCAAATCTGTATAAAACACTTGTCCCCATTGAAAACAAGCACTTCCATGGTCATGTGCAGTATGTTATTAATGGCCAGAGCATCATCCTTTCTATAAAATATGTAACAGATACATTGAAAAAACAAGTATGGAGCTCAGACAAGTTGTTTTTGGCGGCTACACTGAACATCCGCAATGTGGAAGTGGAACAAAAAGTTCCGTTCCAAACGATTGAAAAGAGCAATGAAAACTACTTCTGCAGACATTATCTTTGATATGACCCCAACCACAACAAAAGAAAACTCCTACTCAACCCTTATAACAAGGAAAAACTTGGGGTTCGTTACAATTCTATACAAGGAGTCTGATTGGAGGAAACGAAATACGGCAGAGTCGCTTTTCATGGCAATAGAAGACGAGCCACTCTCACGACCATCGGTGGATGTCAGTACAGTGTACTTAAACATTGTTAAAAATGAACTCGTCGAACAACTACGAGATAACAACTACATCGACCAGGAGTTTGAATGGCTTACAACAATGGACAATGCACCTACCCTTGCCCCTTGCCCATCCTCCTCTCCAAGCTCAGCTGATCCGGCAGTCAAGGTTAGGCATTCGACCCGCGTGTGGGATAAAAGTAGTATTTTTCCACCCTGAGGAAGCGGAATGTTTTTTTGAGTTCCGCGAAACGTCGGACTTTTGGTGCCGTGGACGATTTTGTGTTGTAGCCTATATATATGAGTTTATGTGTGTTTTGACGAGTCCCGGATCAGACATCACAGACAAAAATAAAGGTGTGTGAAGCCCACAATAATCTTCGTGAATAAGGAAAAACTAATTTCCATGACAACAAGGAAGACAACCTCATAAAATATATCTTGAAAGCAAGCATCTGAAGATGCGGACACATTGATAGTGACAGAAGCGCTGTCATTGGCTAGCTCTAATGAAAACGTTGTCGTTGATGGAGATAATGTTGTCTTATTGATTATTCTAATCAGTTTCTGTAGGGAAAACCAGTTTTCTTTTTGAAGCCAGGAAAAGGCAAATCTTCATCCATAACATACTCTCCACTCCTTGCTGTAAAGAATAAAACTGTTGCAGATAATATTCCAAGGGTCTACAGAAGTGTGAATTTTTCAACTGAAAGCACTTTGCTGACGCGATTGCGATAGGCTCGGCTGTAGCTTGTTTTAATTGAAGATTTTTTTACATCACTGACTAAATTTTTCTTTTTGATTTTAAGTGTTAGTTTAGATAATTATGTTTTATGTTTAAGGTTTTATCAAATGTTACATGTACAGACAATGTTTCATTTTGACGCACCTATTCGCAATGTTATGACACTGTTATTGAATTTTTTGTACAATAAATGATATCTATGTCTATGTGGTGATACCGATTCAATATGGTAAAAAAATGTAATACATTTAAATATTTTTGAAAATGTATAAATAACTCTAACCAATAAAGAGATTTAAGGTAACCTTACTTCAATCTTCACTGCACCCAAGACAAACATACGTTAACTAACTACTCTATTCATGCTTGTTGTGTGTACCTGTGATCCAGGAGACGTGGGATGAGTAGGTGCGACTGAGCCAGTTGGGCGACACACAGTTGTGCAGCCCCAGGGCGTACAGTCCCAGCTGGAAGGCACACATATGTAGAGCACGATGAGGTCCATGGTGATTCTGTGAGGTTGAGGCTTGAGTGAACAGAGAGGTGGAACTGGTGCCACCGGCCTTCGACAACACAGTCTTGGCCAACTCAAAGGTGAAGTGAGCACCTGCCTCTGACGGCTGGTTGGGGATAGACGGATACGCTCGTTTACCTTTGAACCTGTAAGAATACAGAAAACATAAGTTCTACGATAAACATTTTAAAACGAATCCAAACAAATACTGAAATAATTTAATAGTAAAACTATCAATGATAGTGGGTGAGCTATCTGGACAAGGTTATTATAGGTACAACTATTAATATTTCTCTCACTTGCACAAAAAAAAAAGAATTATTAATTGATAGTTTTTAGTAAGTACCTGGATGAGGTCTCCTTGGGCCTTGTGGCAGAGGGGTTGATGGGGTTGGACAGTCCGAGGGGGGGAGTGACATGTGAAGTCCCAGGACTGTTCAGAGACAAGTTGGCCAACCCTTGTTCAAACTCAGCACTTGTACAGCTTTGTGGTCGACTACTTGCGCCATCTGTCATCAGGTTATTCATATAATAGCTCTAATGAAAGCAATGTTTGGGGAGTTAGTAGCATGACAGACTTAGAATTTACGACAGTGATGTAGTGGGTTCAAATATTGGTACCTGTCACTAGATTTTACCAGTACAGTTCACCTTTGTACTTTACTGGCTTACCCCTTGCTTTCCTGTATACTTTACATGCATGTCCCAAGGCCTATGTGGACGGGCTCATGCAAGGTTAAAGAGGCCGCCAACTTCCTTGAAAGTAAATGCCCCTGCCGCAGCAAACCTGCAGACTAAGCAAATTTCATTTACCTGATTTGATTTTTACTTAAATATTTCCTTAAATATGTCAGATTTATTCCCTTTTTAAATAACATTAGGTTTAACGAGTACTTGACTGTTACATATTTTATTAGTATTCACAAATATTCAGAATTAATTGTTATTAACTATTTAATAAACTTCCAATATCTTTTAAAAATCAGGAAAACATTCAACCGTATAGGTCAAAATTATCAGATTGGCTTATTATATGTCGTGCTTTTTATTCAGTCGAGTAGTTTTTGGCATATTTTTGCATATATATGCAGATTTTTCAACACCTAAATGTAAGACCAAGCAGTCTTGATGATTGTTTGTTCTTGTTATAGTTAGTTTTTTCCTGTTAATTTAAACATTTTGTATTATTACTGATGTTTTATCCTTTTAAGATTTATTTTACATTTTCTGTAGCCTATTTAATATTTTATATAACATAACAAATGTAACAAAACATGTAACGAATATGTGACCTTGTCTATTGTAATTTATTTATTACCAAATGGCAATAAAGATTCATTATTATTATTATTATTATTATTATTATTAGTGAGGAGTTGGTACCAATTTTTTCAATGTCGGTACCAGAACCGGTTCCTAGCCAAAATCGATTCTCGGTTGTCGGTTCCGGTACCATTGGTACCTTATTTTTTATTTTTAATATAACACTTGAATTACCAAACACATTCAAATCAATATAATTTATAATGTAGCAGAAGTGTTAAAAATATTTGATAAAATTGGTGATGTGTCTATATGAAAATTTATCGATTCTCGATACCGATACCTAAAAAAAACCATTCTCAATACCAATACCATTTTTGAATAGGTAGTTTTTACCAAGTTTTCTGAATGGATTAGTTATACTACACCAGCCCCTGTTTTTATGTCTTTCAATTTAGTATTTTTGAGGTAGGCTTGGGTGTTTTTCAAGTAAAAAAATATACAGCAATGAAACATTTTAACTAGCCAATTTCCAAGTTTAAACCCTTTTTATCACATAAGCAAACTATCATATTTAAGGTACTATAGAGGTGTGCCAGCCTAATATTTTCAGCTCAGCCAAAATCAAAGTAATATTGTGATAATCGTCGTATTCTGACCAGTCATCTGTTGATAAATGTCTGCAGTCAATATATTTCTTACAGTAAAAAAAAAAAAAACACATCACTGACTTAATCTCGCATGCGGCAAGAGATTCAATAATAAAAAAAATGTTCTATACACACGTAAGCTAGCTCTATATCCAATATGGCCGATCCAAGATGATGGCCAAAAACACGTTTCCTATCAAAATGACACTGTCATTTCAATAAAAAAAAAACTATGTATATCCAATAAGGGGGAATCTTAGGGTCCTATAGCAGTGAGCTTTAGAGTTATAGATTTAAAATAAAAATTACATTAAGTACAGATTTATTTAGAACTACGGGTTGATACTCACTCATAGCTGATGTGTCCATCATCATATCTGGCGGGTGCTGGTGTTGATGCTGATGTGGGTGCGGGTGTTGGTGTGGGAGGGAGTGTGGGTGAGGGTGCTGCTGAGGTGGAGGCAGCATATCCAGGTCTTTCCTCTGCACCAGTCCACCACGGGCAGGTGGCATGAACTGACTGCGCACTGGGGGGTTGCTGCTGTAGTAGCTGTACGGTACCGGAGACTTAATCAGCTGATGCACCTCCCTGTCAAGCAGCTTGTCCATGATGCGGGCCAACTTATGAGGGTCGTCCTTGTACAACACCAGTAGTGTGATGGCCAGGTCACCTCGCTGACGACGGGTGCCCTCACACAACAGCGGGTGGTCGGCCTCTGACACATTGGCCTTGAGACCAAGCGCGGCCACTGCAGCCTCAAACCCAAGCATTTCATCCCCTGGCAGTCTCAAGTTTGGGTTAATCAACTGACATCTGCATTCTCGGTTCACTGTTGCAACAAAAATAAGGATAAGATTAGATAAATCTTTTGGGTTATGAATACATCTATATAAATAAAATTAGAGTTTTGTTTTAAAATTAAAATTAAAACGTAATAGATGCTGGTATTGTTGTAAATGGACACATCATTAAAAAAAATGCACAACCTATATCTATAAAAGAGGAACTATATATGTATGTACGTTACGGACTTCGAAACCACTCAACAGAGTGTAATAAAGCTTTCAGGCATCATTAAGCATCTTTCAAGGATGGTTTGAGTGAAGTTTGGTGCAGATATGTCAAAAGGGCTCCGCCCAAGAGGGTTTTAAGTAGAGGTAAGCGGATAATCCGAACCGAGCCCAAATTTGATTGTTGAACATACAATCCATTTTTAAAAACTAAGATTACGATTCAAATACAACTTCAAAAATTATCTGGGTATTTTACTTGGGTATTGGTTTAAAATTGTAAAAAATCAATATTTGTTCAAATGTAACTTGTGTTTACATAAAATGATGGATAATTTGTATTACTGTAGATTCTACAGTAATACAAATATAGAAATAACCAAAAGAGGTAGTTGTCCTAACCTATTTTTATAGCTGTCACGACAGAATAGGTCAACTCAAAGCAGTCGCCGGCGACTGACTGGCAATGGTATACTGACTTGACACAGAATAGAATGACATGATCGGTAGTGATTTTGTTTTAAAGTAGGCCTACTGTTTCACAATAGAAAATTCCACTAGTGAACTGTTACGTAAGCAATAAATTTATGTTTATAAAAGTCAGAACAGAAACACTATAAAGCCAAAACAATATAAGGGAGGGAGGGGTTCTGCAATGACCTCGAAATGAGCGGAATAGCAACATTGAGTAGGGGGTTGGGGGGGGGAAGGGAAGGGTGAGACCTTTGAGCTATAGGCTATTTAGACTAGACTTTCACCACTTCCCAAATGGCTGAGTACGGGGATTACGATAGCAGGTTTTTTCCTTGCCTGGTTTGACTTTTGTCTTTTTGTGTAGGAGATTTGAATAACCAAAAATATAATTTGAATTGACCACAATTATTTAGCATTGATAATACAATTTGCAAGGGACCAGGAGGAAATAGACCAAAACACTACAAGAACAAGAAATGAAATACAGAACACAATGATTTAACACTGTCACTCAATTTTGGTGTCTAGAAGGGTCGGTGAACTAATCAATAAATAGCCAAAACCAGTTTCCTCCCCCTCTTGCAGTCTCACCACCACCCCTCCCCCCCCTAAGCCGGGAGGACCAACACTTTGTCGTTGAAACACCCTAGCCTCTGAAACAATAAACCCTTACACCCGCGTAGCTGTTTTGACAACAGGTTTATGAATGTGTTCACTATTTCTAATTTTCCAGGATTAACTATCAATTATTATTATTTGCAAGTTACAAATAGGAAACTACATGACATTATGGTATTCAATGACCCATGTATTATCAAAAATTAATAATTCATTAGGCCTACTTATTATGATAATAAAAAGCATTCATTACAGCACGCAGCACTTATTGATATATATATATAATCATCAAAGGAACTGTTACTTTATACAAAATTCCTTTTTTTATATATCTATCTATATACTTATTTAATACGCAAGCAGGAATTTTGTGACAATTACTCCTCCGAAACTACTGAACCGATTGACATGTTTTTGGTGTCATTGGAAAGGAGCGTAACGTGAAGTTGTGCAGGAAACTTTCTTTTTAGGGAAATAATTAGAGAGTGAGGCCCTGGGGCCCTTTAAAGTTTCGTATTTCTCCATAAGATTAACATGGGAAACAAAAATTGTTTTGAAACTCCAGCTGTTGTCAGAAATTAAATATTAATAATTGGTCTCCATGGAAGCATGAGAAAATTCACAATGTTTACATTTGCTTTGACATTTAAATGTAAACAACCAGAACTGTCGAATGCCTATTTCACAATTTTAGATAGCTGATAACAAAAATAAAACAACTATGTGGTAGGTTTATTTAATCTTAAACTTTATGATAGATTATTATAAATCTATTTCAATAATTAATTATGAAACAAATTTTTCCCGTTGCGAAGCAAAAATTAATAGTGAGAAGAAAAAGATATGTTGTAAACAGTCAATGTGTAAATTATCGAAGTTGCATTAAAAATGTGTATAGTTTTGGATGTTGGTTTGTGTTTAATGATATAAGTTAGTTATTAAATTTTTATTTTAAGGATTTGGCATATGACTAAGCCTATGATAAATAACACCATTTCAGATTTCTGCCAGTTTTTGCATAACTCTGTCCTGTAGAGTTTAAAGTAGCCTACACCTTATTGTCTACAAATTGGCTAAATAACTTAGGTACGGTACTTAATAAAATCTGACAGCCTTTTTACATTGACCTTAAATTGTAAGCTTACCCTTTCCCGTCCATGGGCAGTTTGATTGTTAAAAATTCACCCTTTAAAATGGAAAAGGACTGCTATGTAAATTGTAAGTATTTCCATTGGTTGATAATATTTTAGTTGGCTCTTTTGCTCTTTTAAAATCATTGGAAATTATGACTGTAATAAGTTTTCAACCAAGTAATTTGTTTTTAAATAACTCCTGTACTTCTTTGCAATTGCTCGATTTCGAGCAACATGTACACTAGTAATTATTTAATACGCAAGCAGGTTTTTTGTGACAATTACTCCTCTGAAACTACTGAACCGATTGAGATGTTTTTGGTGTCATTGGAAAGAGCGTAACGTGAAGTTGTGCAGGAAATTTTTATTTTAGGGAAATAATTAGAGAGTGAGGCCCTGGAGCCCTTTAAAGTTTCGTATTTCTCCATAAGATTAACATGGGAACCAAAATTGTTATGAAACTCCAGCTGTTGTCAGAATTTAAAAGTGAGAAGAAGAACATATGTTAATTGTACACAGCCAATTAGTTTGCTAATTTAACAGTTTGCTACAAACATTTACTGGCTTGGTTGAAATGGAATATTTACTATTTGAATTTGGGTTGGCGTAAATATTACATTGGAAAAAAGCAAGAGAGCCTAGATAATTTGATATAGGCTACTAAAAAGAAAACTGAATTAACACTGTGTTGCATTTCGTAGTAATCATTGAAAGAGCCGATTTGCAAACTATGGAAAAAGGAAAATCATAGAACACCACCAAGAAGAAGAAAATGAAACAATGTTTTTTTTAGAATTTATAATAGTTATGGACAACCTAATGCGGCTATGAGTAAGCCTATTTGTAGAAAACACTAAAAAACAAGATCAGCTTTTGAAAAATGATAAGATATATTTACATGAAATGTTGATTATATCGATCTGTTTTGTACATCTTGAGTATTTCCATAATCTTTGAGTGGAATATTTTAAAGTCATCAAAAATTATGACTGTTATTCGTTTTAAATTAACACCTGTAATACTTAGCAATTGCTCGAATTCGAGCAACAGGGACACTAGTATAGATAAAATAGGTACAAAATTGTGTGGCCAGTCAAACTTTTTAAACAAACATTTTATTCTATAAAATACAGATGGTAAATAGGGGTTGGTTTAAAGGAAATAAAATACCAAAATTTTGATAAACGATAGAAAGGTTATGGGATTGATTGAACTAAAATAACCGCAGGGAAACTTATAAGTAGAAAAGTCGTCAACCACAATCTGTTTAATCAGTACATCGTTAGAGAGAGAGAGGGGGAGTTCTATTATCTGGTCACTTATGCGGCTATACGCTCGTCCTGAAGTATACTTGTGGGGCTATTGGTCCTTGTGGGGATATCCCCATAAGGACCAGGTCTTTTTTTTGGCTGAAATGGATTATTCGTTCAAAATAATGCATAAATTGCCCACTTTCAGCGCCAAACGAAAATATCCCCACATGGCACCTTATGATCCTTACACTTAGTTCGCTTTTGCGGCCACCAGAGCTGCGCTGATGCCGGTTTTCTCTCTCCGAAAAGAGAGTAAAGCTTTGGTCCTTATGGGGATACGAGGCCTGATTGGTCCTTTTTGAATTTAGAGAGAGAACTGTACCTCATGATCATTTGTGGGGATATATGAGAATATCTGCGGTCCCTATGAGGATGTCAATTCTGATTGGTTCGTTTAAATTTTAGAGAGAGAATTTTTCCAAATGGTACATTGTGGGGATGGTTTGTGTCTTCAGTGATAGACATGACACTCTTTGAGAAGCACGAGGTTGTAATTTTGTACAGTTATTGTTCTCTGAGTTCGTTGTGCTGCTGCTGAACAGACATCATGAAGCGTGGCGTGGCGCAAAAATCCAAATTTTTACGCATAATTACTATTTTATTAAACCTTTTATATAACTGAAAAACTGAATGGATAATATATTTCTGTCCTTTAAAATCATTATTGGTATATACTTAGAGTTTAAAGAATAACGTCCAATCTATCTAAAATCTATATAAAAAATTAGAGTTTTGTCTGTACATTGCTCAGAATAATATATTTTTAGGTTATTTTTACGTTTTATACATAATGAAATGAAAAACTAAATAAAAAACGTTTATTTATCCCAAGAATAATAAACTAAAACAGAGAATAGCTATACAACATTAGAGTACAACATTTTTAAGATACAATTTGCCTTACTTTGCCTAAATTTGACTAATGGGCAGGTGCCTGTGCGTAAGCCTGGCTGTTATCAGTCTAAAGAAATTGAGGGCACACACTAAAATTGGGAAGATTAAAAAAGCAGAAACGAGTCTTATCTCTTTATTTCTGTCCGCCTGTCTGCTGTCCGTCTGTAACACTCAAGATGGCATTTTACGCGATGGAAAACGAGAGTACCTATCAAGATCCAAGTCATTTTAATGTATTCACTGGATTGGCGAGAGTGTCTTTAGCCATTAATATATGGCCTCACTACTTTGTAAATAAAATTACTGACGTTCAAAAATGCAGTTTTGTGCGATTTTTAAGTTTTCGTCCAATTGTTATCACATAATCATCTATTAAATAACGAACAG